TAACATTCCTATAAAAAAGAAAAGAGTCCTCGTTATCCTGAGGGAACCAAAAACCCAGAAGGAAGAACAATTACAATGGCTATCTACCAGCAAGAGACTTCTAAAATCATCCCTTTAAGATGTTAGATTTCAACCAGTACGACTTTAGTAAGAATAACAAGGCTTAAGAAACTTAAAACTGCTTTTCAATAGTCATACACATTTTGCACGAAAAAGTAAAAGCTGTTCTACACATAATTTGAACAAAAGAAGCAAAACGCAAATAAACCCTGCAAATCTAAAACCACGAGTAATAGACACTAATCCAGCAAGGAAATCAAGGTAAGCATTATGATCTATGCAATTATGTCACGCATCGAGAAAGATCTAGCACTAACACAAGAAAATGAAATTAATGATGCCACCGAGTAAGCTCAAAACAAGTCTAAATGCAACAAACAGTTAAAAAAAATAAAATTATCCAAAACAATATCAAAATAACAGATTAAACAAGATCATGAACAGTAGCAAACGAGAACAGCAGATCGGCTACAGAATTACATCCACGAAAGAATCAAGCGAAAATCAAACACAATCAGATCTGTGAATTAGAGTCGGAGTCAATCGAAAATGCGAATTAGAGCATAGTCGATCGAAAATTTCACGAAACAGAATAAAACAAAAGGAAAGAGGTAGGGAAGAGAAAAGAGACCATCGCCGTCCTTGTCAAAGAGGCTGAAGGCCTCCTTGAATTCGGAGATCTGATCGTCGGTGAGCTGATCGGCCATTTTCCCTTTCTTCTGAGACAGAAAGTGGATTTTGGAAAAAGAGGATCGAGAGGAGAGCTAACGTTCTGTGTGGTGTGTTAAAATGTCTCTAGAAGAAGGATGAGAGAGAGGGTAGGGTTATATATGGTGGCCCAAAGTTGGCCCAATCAAGCGAGGCAACTGATTCTGTCCGCAACGTTCACGCGGCTTGCTTCCTTTTTCCTTTTTTTTTTTAATTCATTTCGCAAAGATGTTACAGTTATAAGATAAACCTATAATCATAACATATTATTAAATAAATAAATATATTTAATATTATTAATATCACAAATTTCATATGAATTAAAAAAATTAATCATTTTAACATTATATTATACAAAAAATAAAACAAAAGGTTCTCCCAATAACATTTCCCATTCCCAAATTCCCACCATGGAATTATCAATAATTAAGATAATCTCTGTTTGACCAAGACAATAGGGGAGAATTGGATTCTTATGAACAGAGT